TCTTCGACAGGAGATCTCGAATCTCCTCATTGTAAATCTCCAGGAAGCTCGCCCGAACCAGGTAGCTTCCACGGCCACTATCGCACAGATTTTCACGATTTTCACTTACGAAATATCCTGTCCGCCGCTCTCATCGATGCTCTTAAAAAGATGCTCAAATGCTCGCGGAATGATACCGTGCTCATTGTCTCACAAACGAGCAACATCAGCTTCAACTACTTGTCCCGAGGCTCACTTTTCTTCCCTCCAGACGGTCCCACCATCGTATGCGTCTTCCCAGTGCCCGTCTGACCATACGCAAAGATAGTCCCTACAGCTATCGTTCTCATCCAGTCACACAGCTTGAGCCGTTCACCATTGTATCCCTCAAGAACGTTCTCTACTATTGGGTAAGCAGCCTCCTCGTAGATCTGGCTCTGACTCGCCACAGGGGGGTACACCGCATCAAAGGTGAACTCTTTAGCTGTATCTCGACTCTCACTCTGGCCCTGCCAACTACTCTCCAAGTAGCGCTTCCTACTGGAGCTTACCGCCGCCGACGGCTTGTAAACAGTGACCAGATGATATGCTGAGTCCATCTCGACAGTTTGTTTTCGCCCATCAACCACCTCTTGCTCGGACATCGGCCGACATCTGATCACCTAAGAGCCACTAAGCACGAGACCATGCTTCAAAGTGCGACCTACAACTCTAACACACTCGGTGTTTTTCGACGCAGTCGTCGTATCTTTAGCACAACTCGATGCCATTCACGGAAGCTCACCACAACGCACAGTCTCCCTCACAGATTGACACACTGAACACTCAATCCCAGTAGATGCTTCCGCACCAGAGACACGCAGTATTGCATGTGGGAACAGACCCCATGGGAAATCATCAGCACGATGAGCTGCGATTACACCGGCATACGTGATCCAATTCTCGATACTGAAAGCCGTTCACAAGCTCTTCAATATCCTCTCCAACCCCTCGTCGTGGAGACTCCACCAACCGATGGCTCTTTGGGAGGCGGGGGGGATATCAATGGGCACCGGAGATGGCAAATGTGCAAGGAAACGACCGACAGCCTCAACCGAGACCTCCCCATTGTATACATACCGGTCCCGACCGCGAAGAACTCGGAGTTGTGGCAGATCGAAAATGTCCAAGTCCAGCCACATGACTAGCTTCTCGCGAGTCTCACTAGTAGCCGTAGTAAGGTCCAAAACCGAGCATCGACATTCGTATTCGGTCAACTTCCCCGCATTAATTTCTCTTGAGAACTCCAACCACATCTGGCGGGAGTCTTGACATTCTTGTTGATAAGTGCTAACCACCACGATCAGCCAGAATTCATCACAGCTAAGTCCGCGCAGCAGACAAGACACAAGCACACTGTCCCCAACCACAGGAACATCCAAGGAGTAATACCAGTCGCCCAGATTCATAAGGTGGGGGGCATCGGGGTAATACCACTGTCGTTCGGCACTTCTGGCCCGGCGTATAGACCCTCTTACCGGGACTTTCTTAGTGTCCAATGCACCAGTACTAGCAGATCGAACCCGACTGTCACCACGCCTCCTACTATTGTAGGAGACCAGACAATCAGCTGTTAATTTTTCGACATATTTCGCAGCGGAGCGAAGCGTGACATATTTCTCCAATTTCACCGCTTGCTCCTCCACTCGCTTTCGAGCTCGCTCTAGTGCTACACGCTGCGACTCTACCTCCTCCAAGGCAATCGCTGCACGTCGTGACAGCTCATCCGGTTCAGAGACGCTACACGGAGTCTCTACCATAGCCCCTAAAGATCCCTCCTTCTCCCTAGCCGCTCTCAGTCGCCTTTCCATCTCAGTAATGTTACCTCTCACCAATTCACGACTTCTTT